TATGTATATGTATATGTATATGTATACAGAGTTTTAGTTAGAAGTATGGGAGTGTATATATAAGAAAATGAACAGTATGCTTGTACGTAGGGTCTTAGCAACGTATATTCAGCTCTGTATTTTTCTCTGCTAACTATGCATACATGGATATAATTCTTCATCTACAGTTAATGTGCACGTGCCCAAGGACCGTGTTACGTTTACACATCAGGGGTACGGTTTTGTGGAATTCATCAGTGAAGATGATGCAGATTATGCTATTAAAATCTTGAACATGATCAAACTGTACGGCAAGGTACGTTTATTGATGTGATTGATCTACTGCTCGTTTCTTCTCTGTGGGAGGTCAGTGAAGTAAATATCACGTGGTCTGCTTGTGCCAGAGCGAGTATGAAGGTGTCTTACGACTTTTTGTCCCCGTGCGAAGATAAAATACAGCCACGTCCTATTGGGTTCAGATTGTTTCTGAGCTATGGTTGATAAATATTCCCTTTGTTTGTGTAGGTTTGCATTTTTTTTAGTGCAGTACGTTTCTTAAGTCTTTGTGTGTGTGTGTGTGTGTGAAAGTACAGTGAAGTAGATACTGTACGCCTGATTTTTCTACACCGTGGATGGGAAGCTATGAGAGTATATCACTAGTTGTCATTGTATGTTTGTATTGTGTATTCGTAGCGTATAGAAGCAGCTAGCGTAATCTGTCAACTTGGTAGTAAGAGTTCACCATAGTAGGAATAGCCGAGTCCTTTTGTGTGTTCGAGGCGTTTGCCTCTCCCTTCAATTGTTTAGTAAGCACGGGGCAGTTCTCGGGTTCATGCCTGGAACGTTTGTATAGAATATAGGCACTAGTTGACTGTAAAGGAGTATGTTTAGAACCATATCCGTATACGCTAATGCAGCCCATCAGAGTCAACAAAGCCAGTGCGGATAAGAAGCAAATGGACATCGGTGCCAATCTATTCATCGGGAATTTGGCGCCAGAGGTGGACGAGAAGATGATGTATGATACCTTCTCTGCCTTCGGAGTTATAGTACAGACACCCAAGGTATTAACCACGCGCGCATTTACGGTAATGTGTACGTAATTGATTACCACACACGACGCCTGTTCATGGAACCACTCCGGAAAGCCCAGATCTGTTCGTGTGTGCATATGCACCCACCCATTGCAGCGGATATGTGTGTACTGCTGCATTTTGAATGTTCATTTGTTACGCGTGTATCCGGCATACGCCTGTGGACACGCAGAAGCGCAGTCTCCGTATCTTAAACCTACATTTCCATTCTATCAATATGGCTCGTGAGCACTCAACCACCTCAGGTGTACTTGTATGCATGACATTGTTTGCCGCTCAAAATCTTGATAGTATTGTAACCTGAAGCATCCACAAAGTTTTGCGTGTTTGGACAATGGCAATGTTCTCGTTCTCTTGAATTGGCTAGTTTGTACTGTCCCAGCACCTGTTTTACTTACTTGACGTAAATTTTGTGTTTTTTATACCGTATTATGGGAGGTTTGGATTCTAGAGGATCAAAAATCTCTTTGTATTTAGAAACCTATTTTTCCTGTTCTCCCAGTCTGACTAGTGTCCCCTCATCCCATCACCTGTATACATAATCTAACATTGCTTGCGTATATCGTTACCAGATTATGAGAGATTTGGATACCGGAGTCTCCAAAGGATTCGGGTTTGTCAACTACGGGTCATTCGAGGGAGCGGATGCGGCCATTGAGGGCATGAATGGCCAGTTTCTGTGCAACAGGGCTGTTTCTGTAGGGTTCGCTTACAGGAAGGATGCCAGGTATTGCATTCATGTATTGGTGTGTAGGTAGAGTTGTCGATGTATGTAGCTGTTGGTGTGTCAGATGAGATGAGTGTATGTATGAATGTTTAACGTTCTTCGCATGTCTGGTGCTGCTGGAAACGGTATAGAAGGGCTATTCTTCTGAGCGTAGACGTGTATTGAAATTCCTTGATATTCAGCCATCTGTCGATACTTAGATCAGCACTCTCTCGTAACTACAGTTCGTCTAATATACACGCTCATGCACGACCACATAACACTCACAAACATGCTCTCATATTTCTTCTTTCTTGTTCGTGGCACAAACATCAAACACCTTACACTCAAGGTCAGTACTATGCAATTATGTTCATCATATTATATAGCAATTTACACTCACATAGAATCCAAAAACTTTTGAGAAATGCTTAGATAAGATTATTGTTAATTCGCTGTGTGCTAACCTTCACTTCATCTTTGTACCACAGTCACATACAGAGTGTACGTAACATACACCTTGCGCCTTGTCCAGATACTATGTACATCACTTTCACCGTACACTAAACTATCCTTCACTTTGTATTCAAACTACGAATACCTTTCACACTATACATACCATGAGCATCGTACCTCCCACGCATTCGTTCTACGGTTTCTCCACACACCATTGCTAGTCATATACCTTGCAATTTATCAAGTGCCATGGACGTTGTATTCACCATATGCTATCCTTCATTGCTTATTCATACTACTAATACCATAAACCTCATACCTACCATGTACATTGCATTTTGACTATTTGCAGAGGAGAGAGGCACGGGTCAGCTGCGGAACGTATGCTAGCGGCGCAGAACCCTGTACTGAAGGACCAAGTACCAAATGTTCTATTCTCGGACAGTGCTAATAGTAAGCCAGAGAGTATAGGCGGCCAGGGACGTCCAGGGGAACAAACACAGCAGCAACAGTACCAGCAACACCAACAGCAACAGCAACAAAGAAAAACTCTGTTACAGGCGCCCCTTGGCGCGCCTAGGGGACCACCCCCGTCTGGGCCTCCAATGGTGCGTGTGTGAGAGGAATGATTATTGAGCTAACTATATGTATATATATATATAAATACACACACACACACACACACACACACACACACACACACACACACACACACACACACACACACACACAC